CTGGTGCCTTCTTCTGGCCTGCAGACACACATATAGGCAGAAAACAGCATATAATAAATAAATAAATAAACAAGAGAAGGAGAAATACCTAGAAGTATTTAGAAAGCAGAACTTCGCAGTTGAATGTTGTTATAATTTAGAGGAACATTTAGAAGATGAATTCTCTACATCTTTGGTGGCTGGGAATTTGGAAAAAACAGATAATGAGAGCAGGTTTGAACTACATGGCTTTGGCGTCCGTAGGTCGCCTGAGAAGAATTGTGTAGTTATACCCATATATATGGGTATTTTATACACACACACACACACACACACACACACACACACACGGTACTCAGAAACATACTGATTATACTTTTAGCTCATGTACTAGATGCTGGATGTTTTGTGTCACATAATCTTGACAACTACTTTGAGCAGATAGAAACTAATATTAGTACCCTATTGTATTAATGAGGAGAGCCATGTTTGGAAGGGTCATACAGCTGGACAAGAGGGCCTACCTGGTCTTTAGTTTAAGAAATAATGGTATTTGTTTTTTTAATAGTTTTTAAATTTTATTTTATTTTCAAAAGATTTAATTTTATGTGTATGAGTGTTTTGCCTGCATGTATGTCTGTGCACTGCATGTATGCCTTGTGATCACAGAGTTCAAGTGGGAGATCAGATCCCCAAGAACTGGAGTTATAATTATGAGCTGCCATGTGAGTGCTGAGAATGAAACCCAGCCCTCTGCAAGATTAAATGCTCTTAATCACTGAGCCCCGATTTATTTTTTAAGCATGTGTGTTCATGTGCTTGGGCATGTGCATATATGCTAATGCTCAAGGAGTCCAGAAATGGTGTCAGAATCTGGGCATCTGGAGTTAACAGTCAAGTGGGTTCTTGGAACCAAACTTCAGTCTTTTACAAAAGCGACAAGTGCCCTTAACCACTGAGCTATCTATTCAGCCCCAGCTAATGATTTTTAAAGACTATTTCTTTGGGTGAAGGAAGGTAAATCATCTTTGATGAAGGCATAAACAAGCAAATACAGTTCTGAGCACATACGCTAGTAATTATGAGTATAGATCCAAATTAACACTAAATTTGTGCTTAGTGTTTTCTTTTGTGAGACAAGGCCCTGACTGTTCTTAAACACAGAAATTCACCTGCCTCTGCCTTCTGAGCACTGGGATTGAAGGCAGGTGTCACCACTGCCTATCTTTAGCGGATTGTTTTGGGGGTGGGGGATTCGAGAGAGGGTTTCTCTATGTAGCCCTGGCTGTCCTGGAACTCACTTTAGACCAGACTGGCCTCGAACTTAGATCCGCTGGCCTCTGTCTCTGCCTCCCGAGTGCTAGGCTTAGACATTCACTATAACAACAACCATTCCAATAGTGGAATTTTTAAAAAATTCAGGTGGATTAATTACTGTATAACATATTGTAGGTCAAGAGGATTATATTTTGAATGAAAAGCATCCTGAGAGGTCTGGTATGGTGGCTCATGTATTTAATCCCAGCGCTCTGAAGTCAGAGGAAGGAGGATCTCTGAGTTCCAAGAAAGCGTAACTTACATAGCAAGTTCCAGGACAGCTAGGGCTGGGCTACACAGTGAGACTCTGTCTCAAAAAAAAAAAAAAAAAGAAAAAAAAAGACTCTGAAACATAGTAAGATAGATTCTTGTGATATGTATGGGTGTTTAGAGTACAATTACCAGACCTGGTGGTGGTGGTGGCTCCAAAGCTACAGAGAAACCCTTCTCAGGGGTTGGGGAGGGGTGGCTCAGTGGTTAAAAGTACTGACTGCTCTTCCAGAGGACCTGGGTTCAGTTCCTACACTCACATAGGAGTCACAACTGTCTAACCCTAGTTCCGTTGCCCTCTTTTGGCCTCTGGGGGCACCAGGCATGCACATTGTCCATTTTCATTCTTCTACATGTTGATACCCAGTTATGCCAGCACCACTTGTTAAATATGCTTTCTTTTTTCCATTTGCTATTTTTTGCTTCTTTATCAAAGATCAGGTGTTCGAAGATGTGTGGATTGATATCCAGTTCTTTTATTCGGTTCCATTGGTCCTCCTGTCTGTTCTTATGTCAATACCAGGCTGTGGTCAGTACTGTAGCTCTGTAGTAGAGTTTGAAGTCAGAGATTGTGATGCCTCCAGAAGTTCTTTTATTGCCCAGGATTGTTTTGCCTATCCAGGGTTTTTTGCTTTTCCAAATGAAATTGAGTACCATTTTCGAGGTCTTTGAAGAATTTTGCTGGGATTTTGATGGGCTGTTCTGTCTCTTTATCTTTGTAAAGATACTTGTTTTTCCATTTCTTTATTAGTATTTCTCTATGACCCACATTTCTGTTTAATTGGATGTTTTGCCTGCATGTATGTCTATCTATGTACCATGTTAGTGTCTACAGAAACCAGATTAGGGCATCAGATCCCCTTGGGCTGTGTGAGCTGCTGTGTGGGTGCTGGGAATCTAATCCTGGTCCTCTGGAAGAACAGACAATCACTTAACCAAGGAACCATCTCTCCTGCCCTCACTTAACCTCTTTTTCTTTTTAAATATTTGCTTATTTATTTACTGTGTGTGTGGAAGTGCCTGAATATGTATACACCATGTGCCAGCGCTATTCAAAGTGTGGTTATAAGAGATCCGTTGTAGTCACAAGCAGTCGTGAACCTTGGTCTTCTAAAGAGGAGCACTTGCCCTTAGATGCTGAGCCATCTCTTAGTTTTGCCCCTCACCAGGGTAGACATAAAATAGTAATATTATCATGCTAAAATTTGCCCAGTTGTTCTGCTGCCAGGCTAACAGCTTTATTTTGATATTGCCACATTTAAATCAGCAATCCAGTGGTTGGGAATGTAGCTCATTTGATAGTGCTTGCTTAGGGTGCTTCATAAAGCCCTGCATTTGATCCCCAGCTCCTCATGGGCGGGGGGTACACACCTGTAATTCCAGTGTGAGGGAGGTTCATATTAGGGAGGCAGGAGGTTTAGCTCAAGGTCATCTTTTTTTTTTTTCGAGACAGGGTTTCTCCGTAGCTTTTTTTTTTTTTTTTTTTTTTTTTTTTGTGGTTTTGGAGCCTGTCCTGGAACTAGCTCTTGTAGACCAGGCTGGTCTCGAACTCACAGAGATCCGCCTGCCTCTGCCTCCCGAGTGCTGGGATTACAGGCGTGCGCCACCACCTCCCGGCTCAAGGTCATCTTTAAATAATATATTGAGACCTGTTTGGACCATATGAGACTCTATCTCAAACAAAATGAATAGCCCTCATTTTTATAATTATTAAGCCCTTTCAACTTCTCCATAGTGATTTGGGGAAAAAAATCCTATCAAACATTTCTATTCCCTAGTGACTAAGCATTCAAATAATATGAGCCTGTAGGGGCCGTTCTTTTTCAAGCCACCAACCCTTGTCTCAAAAGAAAAGGGGGAGGGAGAGAGAAAACAGAAAAGAAGGGGATGGTACACATGTATGGTGCATGTGCGCATACAGGCCAAAAACATTTTTTTCTCCCAAGACAGGGTTTCTCTGTAGCTTTGAAGCCTGTCCTAGAACTCACTCTGTAGACCAGTTTGGCCTCGAACTCACCTGTCTCTGCCTCTCAAGTGCTGGGATTAAAGGCGTGCACATCACTGCCTGGCTTAATAAGTCTAATTTTTTTGTTTGTTTGTTCTCGAGACAGTTTCTCTGTGTAGCTTTGGAACCTGTCCCGCAACTCGCTCTGTGGACCAGGCTGCCCTGGAACTCAGAGAGATCCGCCTGCCTCTGCCTCCTGAGTGCTGGGATTAAAGGTGTGTGCCACCCACTGCCACCCAGCTAATCTAATTTTTTAAAAATAGCAAAGAATGGTACAATAAAAGCATTCATTTAGACTAATCCTAATTTTGGACTTTTTTGAATGCATGTTCTAGAAAACTAAATTAGGTAAAGAAGAAAGAGAAAATGAGGGATTTAATAAGAGTAACTTAAATAATTATCAAATACTCTCGAATTAATAGAAATAAGTGAATCCTAAAAGAGACCAAGGAGTTGGAAAATGAACTGATGTCTGATGAAATTGTGAACCAGTGTAATGAGAGTAGGAGATTATCTGAAGAGAAAGCAATATGGGAGAGATCTTAGAAGTTACTGAGTTTGAGATTGAAGAACCCGTGGAACTGTAGAAACACAGATCATCTAAGTGAATATTGGAATTGGAATTGCCCAGCATGTAACAGTGAACCTTAGGTATGCTGAGCCTTGGAAAAGCTTAACCTTTATGTATATATGAAGTCAAATTATCCCCAGAACACTCAGAAAATTAAAATAACTGGTAAACGGGAAGACTTGGACTTTTAGGTGTTAATGTGAGTGGTGTTTAGATTGGTTGATTTAGGGATTTGTGTAGAATATACTATTAAACATTATTTACACGGTTGATATATGATTAGAATTCAGTGTTGTGCTTGGTATTTTTGTAACAAGTTGAGTTTATTCAACTCTCTGTCTCTGTCTCTCTCTGTCTCTCTCTGTCTCTCTCTCTCTCTCTCTTTCTCTCTCTTTGTGTCTTCACAAATAATTGGAGAAACAATTTTGTCTTAGTGTGTCTAAAGCCACTAAAGGATTTTTTTTCCTTTAGTGCCAAACATCTACAGAGTGAGGTGGTCTACTTGAAGAGTACCTTGAGCAGAAATTTAACCTCAAATGGTTTAGGGTTTTAGTACATTTGATAAGTTAATCCATTAGTTAATTGTTTACTTGTTATTCCATTCATGTAATTAGACCATATGAAAACAGTTAACTGGGGCTGGAGAGATGCTTAGAGGTTAAGAGCACTGACTGCTTTGATCCCTCTTCTGGTCTCCGTGGGCACTGCATGGTTTGTGATATACCTACAAGCAGGCAAAACACTCATAAGCTTAAGATAATGAAATGTAATTTAAAAAGTTAGCTGTTTGCAAACAATATATTTGGAACAAGTTTCACTAAGTATAAAAACTTTTTTTTTATTGTCTTTCATCTCCAGCTACATATCCCCACCGTTTGAATCTCTTTTATCTTGCCAATGATGTCATACAGAATTGTAAGAGGAAAAATGCAATCATATTCCGTGAATCATTTGCTGATGTGCTTCCCGAAGCAGCTGCTCTAGTGAAGTAAGTAAATCTTTACTGTACTTTGGGATTTAAGAAAATTTAAAAATTTTCTTTTCTTTCCTACTTATAAGGAAGAACTTGAATAATTGTGCATATTTCAAGATCCAAATAAAATATTTTGTTCATGGCCAGGAGTAGTGGCACTTTCTTTAACCCTAGCATCTGGGGAGCAGATTCAGCCAGATTTCTTGAATTTGAGGCCATTGGGGCTATTCAGTGAGACCTTATCTAAAAAAAGCAAAAAAAAAAAAAAAAAAAAAAAAAAAACAAAGGGGGGGGATCCAATTCTTCATCTCTCTCTCTGTACTCATTTGTAATTTAATTTTTAGTGTTCTTCAACTTACAGATTTTTTTTTTAATGATGAAAGAATCTCAATGTAAAAATAGGAGAAAGCTGGGTATTGCTGGTGCACGCCTTTAATCCTAATACTTGGGAGGCAGAGGCAGGTGGATCTCTGTAAATTTAAAGCCAGCCTGGTCACAGAGCAAGTTCCAGGACAGGTGCCAAAGTTACACAGAAAAACCCTGTCTCTAAAAACAAAACAAAACAAATGTGTGTGTGTGTGTGTAGAGAAAATGGAAGTATCATTTGTTTGTTCCAGTTAATAACCCCCTAGAAAATATCAGAGTTAGTGTTTTATAAAAATTTTGTTTTAAAAGGCATAGTCTTGCTACATATATACTCTAGCCTAGCTTTTAACTGGAGATCAGCATCCTAGTTGCTGATGTTATAGGCATTTATATGTATGTATATTTTGCTTGCATGTACGGCGGTATGTGATCAGGTTGAAATCCTCTTCTTAGAACATGTGTTGTAGTGTGGAGTTGATTAATGCTTATTTTTCAGTAAACTTTATTTTTTTATTTTTATTTATTTATTTATTTTTAAAAAACAACAACTTTATTTCATGCACATTGGTATAACGATGTCAGATTCTCTTGAACTGGAGCTACAGACAGCTGCGAGCTGCCATGTGGGTGCTGGGAATTGAACCTGGGTTCTCTGGAGGAGCAGTCAGTGCTCTTGACCACTGAGCCATCCCACCAGCCCCTTCAGTAAACTTTAAAAGGAAGACAAACCCAGTATTTATATCCTAGTACAATTATTTTGGGTTTCGTGTTCTGTTTTGTTTTGGTGCTAAGAATGGAAGTCAGGGCCTTCTGTATGGACACTTGGTAAGCCAGTGCTCTGTCACTCTGCTTCCTCTCAGTTCTTAGCTTTGTTAAAGTTTATATGTGTATATGAATGCTTTGTGTGCACGTGCGCGCGCATGCGCGTGGACACATACACACCCCTAGTGCTAGTAGAGGCCAGAAGAGGTCACCAGATCCTCAGACTGGAATTACAGACTGTTGTAAGCTCCATGTGGGTGAAAAGAACCAAACCAGGTCCTTTGCAAGAGCAATAAGTGCTTTAAACTACTTAGTCTTCTCTCCAGCACTGTTTGTTTTGTTTTTGATTTATCTTCACATTTATGTATTTATGCATGTGTGTACATATGCCACAGCGTGCATGTGGCGGTCGGAGGACAACTTTCAGGAGTTAATTCTTCATTTCACCCTGTGGGTCCCAGTCATCATCCTTGCTCTCCCTTGTTATTTTTTTTTTCTTTTTAAGACTTATTTATTTATTTATTTATTTTGTGGTTTTTCGAGACAGGGTTTCTCTGTGGTTTTGGAGCCTGTCCTGGAACTAGCTCTTGTAGACCAGGCTGGTCTCGAACTCACAGAGATCCGCCTGCCTCTGCCTCCCGAGTGCTGGGATTAAAGGCGTGCGCCACCACCGCCCAGTTAAGACTTATTTATTAATTATGTATACAGGGTTCTTCCTGTATGTATGCCTTCAGGCCAGAAGAGTGCAACAGATCTTATTACAGATGGTTGTGAGCCACCATGTGGTTGCTGGGAATTGAACTCAGGACCTTTGGAAGAGCAGCCAGTGCTCTTAACCTCTGAGCCATATCTTTTTTAATGTGTGTTTCTCACGGTAATTAACATGACTTCAAACTGATGATTCTTCTGCCTCAGCCTCCCATATGCCGGGATTATAAAAACTACCCCACGATAATGCCATCGACTTTTGCTTTTTTGAACAATCTCTTCCTTTAAAAAAAATGTTTTTTATTTTTTTTCTTTTGGTGGGAGGTTGTTTTCTTGTTTTGCTTTTTTTTTTTTAAGATTTATTTATTTCTTATGTATACAACATTCTGCCTCCATGTCTACCCGCACACCAGAAGAGGGTGCCAGATCTCATTACAAATGGTTGTGAGTGACCATGTGGTTGTTGGGAATTAAACTCAGGACCTCTGGAAGAGCAGCCAGTGCTCTTAACCACTGAGCCATCTCTCCAGCCCCTTGTTTTGCTTTTTTAAAGGCAGGGTTTCTTTGTGTAGCCCTGACTGTTCTGGGAATCACTATGTGAACTAAGCTGGCCTCAAATTCATGGAGAACCACCTGCCTTTCCCCCCAGTGCTGGGGTTAAAGGTGTAGGTTTCCAATGCCTGGCTTAAATTTCTTTTTATACTGAACATGGTGGTATATGCTTTTATATCCCTGCATTTGGGAGGCAGAGGTGGCTCTGAGTTCAGGGCCTGGTCTACATATTGAATTACAGGCCAGCCAAGGATACAGAGTGAGACCCTGTCTCAAAAAAACAAAGATAAATAAATACCATTTTTTCCCTCTCCATTTAAGTGTCTGTGTGAGTATACACTACATGTGTGGGCTGACCAGTGTCTGCGTGAGTATACACACTACACGTGTGGGCAGACCAATGTCTGTGACTATACACACTACATGTGTGGGCCGTCCAGTGTCTGCGTGAGTATACACACTACACGTGTGGGCAGACCAATGTCTGTGACTATACACACTACATGTGTGGGCGGTCCAGTGTCTATGTGAGTATACACACTACATGTGGGCAGTCCAGTGTCTGCGTGAGTATACACTACACGTGTGGGCAGACCAATGTCTGTGACTATACACACTACACGTGTGGGCTGACCAATGTCTGTGACTATACACACTACATGTGTGGGCAGTCCAGTGTCTGCGTGAGTATACACTACACGTGTGGGCAGACCAATGTCTGTGACTATACACACTACATGTGTGGGCCGTCCAGTGTCTGCGTGAGTATACACACTACATGTGTGGGCTGGCTAGTGTCTGCATGAGTATACACACTACATGTATCTTATAAGCATCACAATGTTTACTATATATCTGTAGCCTCATTTTGCCATTGATAAAGTGTTGAATAAGGTAATTTTTTTTAGCAATAGGTAATGTAGGAATAAATATTTAAAGGTATACATATGGCTGGAGGATTGGGTCAGTAAAGAGTACTAGCTGGTCCTTCCAGAGGACCCAGGTTTGGTTCCCAGCATCCACATGGGACTCACAACCATCTGTTGCTCTAATTCAGAGATATCGTGGCCCATGTGTGTGCATGCAGACAAAGCACATAAAGTGCAGTGAATAGTAGATCTTTTCTCAGAATTAAAAAGGACCTTCCCCAAAGCAATGTGCCTTACCCTCTCTGAGGAGTGGATGGGGGAAGGGAGAAAAGGGAGGGGATGGGATGGGAACTGGGATTGCTATGTAAAATGAAAAAAATACTTTGTTTTCTTTTTTTAAAATAAAATAAATAACAAAACTAAAAAAATAATACAAGAAATTTGCTAGATACTAAATTGTTGGTAACTTTATTCACAGATTTCTAGTTTGAGGATATGTCAATATTTTTATATATTTTAATTAATTAACTAATTAATTAGTTTTTTTTTGAGACAGAGTTTCTCTGTATAGCTTTGGAGCCTGTCCTGGTACTTAACTCTGTAGCCCAGGTTGTCCTCAAAATCACAGAGTACCTGCACCATCATCACTGCCCGGCTTCTTAGTTTGTTAGTTTATACAGTATTCTGCCTGTATGTATGCCTGCAGGCCAGAAGAGTGCACCAGATCTCATTATGGATGGTTGTGAGCTACCATATGTTTGTTGGGAATTGAACTCAGGATCTTTGGAAGAGCAGGCAATGCTGTTAACCACTGAGCCATCTCTAGCTCAGTATTTGTATATTTTACTCTTCTTTTAGGGATCCATCCGTCTCTAAGTCAATAGAGCGAATCTTTAAAATCTGGGAAGATAGAAATGTGTACCCAGAAGACATGATTGTGGCATTGAGAGAAGCTTTAAGTAAGTGCCTTTTTTCCCTAAAAGTCAGTCTTTGCAATTCTTCTGTATCCACAGGTCCAGTCCTGTTGTATAATACTAAAGTGGTAAAGGAATTTGGCCTGATTTGTTTAAAATTAAATACATAAAAACATGACTATCTGGACTTAATTAAATTGGTTGGGATAGGTAGTTGGACCTTTGTTTCTGCTGACTAAAAACAGTAAATATGTTAAATGATGATAGTCATCTGGTTATTTTTCTGTGTTTGCTTTCATTAAATATTACTATTCATTGATTATGTTTGGTAAATACTGTTCTGTCCTCTTACTGTTGGGGAAGTTTGGGCATGGTTTCACATCTTTAAGTTGTTTGGTGGTGAACATAATTGTATAGTCTCTAAGCTCCATTTGATTTCATTTTGCAATAATTATATATCTATTCTTTGTGTGTTTGTGTATGTATGTGTGTGTTAAGTAAATTAGTTCTTATATATAAGATTTATGTTATTAAACCACCAAATAGAAGTTCATGGTAATTATTGCCATGATCATCATTTCACTAGAAATTGGCTTTTAAAAGAACACCTTCTAAGAAGCTGTTGAATCCTGCATACACGTTTGTATTCTATTCAAAAGAAACTTATTTTTAGCCTCTGCCTTATTCTCTTTCAGAACTGGAGATTTCATTAATTGTAGAAATTACATTTATTTAATAGCTTCTTAGATTTGGTGGGTATTGTCTATTTTTGTTTTTATAAAAATAAAAGAAAAAAATGAAAGAAACTACACAGTCTTGGATTACCTTTTTCTTGCTACATCTTTGGCACTGAAGTGGACAGACAGAACAGCTTCCCATAATGCCAGACTGCAAAAACTGCAATGTTTTCCAGGTACCACTTTCAAAACTCAGAAGCAGCTGAAAGAAAATCTGAACAAACAACCGAATAAGCAGTGGAAGAAATCACAAAGTAAGGAACAAAATCTCAACTAATATAAAATTACCTCCTCCTTTTGGAGCAGAAGAAACTGTAGACCGTTTGACACCGTACCTGGCATAAACCATGGGCAAGCCTGTGTTTCTAGGCCTGGGAGGTTCCCAGTCTTAGACTAATCAAGCCAGCATGAAGTTACTTCTTTTAAAAACTACTGTTAAACAGAGGAAATGCAGAAAAAGGGTTTGAGCGAAGATCCAAGAGTAGTTGGGGGATTGAAAGAAGAAAAAAAAGCTTGATAGTACCAGGCTAATTTCTACATTCAGAGATGTGCGGAGTTAGAGGCGGCTGGTTTACACCACAAAGCTGAAGAGGAGACTAGGCATTAAGAAGCATTTCTCTGGGAGCCATGAAAGCCTTCAGATTTGGGGATACACTCTACCAGATTAGACATGGGCCTCCAATTTTGGCCAGAAACTCATTCTCTATCTGGAGCTACTGTTGTGTTTGTCCTATTTACCCAGCATGATATCAAGGGAGAGGAATGCTGCATGTTATAGACTGTTGTGGGCAAACGGAGGACTGTCGAGAGACTGGAAGGTTTGGAGGGAACAAGGTGGAGGACAGTGGAGAAGTGGGAGGTGAAACAAGAGAGTTGGGATGTTTTGCTCCATCAAGCATATGATACTTACTCATCATGGTTAAGGGAGTCCTCTGCCATCCTTTTGGTCATACATTGCATGCTTAGGAACAACGGAAGCCATCAGTCTGACCAAAGTTCAAGTGCAGTGATAATGCATTTAGATCTTTTGTTGCTATGAACTAAGTCGGCTAAAAAAAAAATCTAAACTTAGCCAGATGGAAGTTGATAAATAATTTTCTTCAGCCAGTGCTCAGGATTAATTGGATGTCTTGTTCCTGGACACTCTTACATTGAGATACTGAGATTTTCTTACAGTTGATAAGACTAGAGGGAGGTGCTTCATGTATCTACCTCAGTGTCTCCAAATCATTAATTCTGGGACTTAACAAGTCTTTTGGAGGTAAGTTGTTAGACTTATCTAAATAGTTTATTTTTCTATTGGTTATGTTTAGGAGTATTTAAATTTCATAGCCAATTATTTTGCTGCAGGATTATATTGTGATTTATGTGTGCATGGCTGCCGTATGTTTGCAGAGTACACCCTTAACTCTACATCTCAGATTTTCCTAGATTTGGTCAAGTCTTTGTGTTGTATTCTTATTGATTTTTTTTTTCATTCAACAGCATCCACGAATCCAAAAGCTGCTCTCAAATCTAAGATAGTTGCTGAGTTTCGAGTAAGTTCCAGAATTTAAGTATAGTAAAGATCATTTATTCACCATTGAAGTCACAGTTCCCAGTCATATTTATTTCTGCTCGTGTGTACATGGGGAATCTGAATAGGATTAGATTATCTGGAGTTCTGTCTGTTTTCCTAGTGAAGAAACAACAGTGTAGAACATCTGTTGCCAGCTAAGCTGTGTGTTTAGTGTATGTTACCAGGGAGCCTTCTTCTTTAATTTAATGCTACTAAACTTAAAATTTTCTTAGAGCAGCACAGGACTATAATTAAGTTTAGAGAGGGGCTTTTGTTTCGATGTTAACCCCATATCTGTAAATTAACTTGAATAATTAGGGACTGGGTAGATAGCCACCAAGCCTGAGTTTCATAACTGAGAGCCACGTGATGAAAGGAGAGAGCTGACTCTTGAAGAGTTATCCTCTGGTCTCCACATGCACCATGGTGCTGTGCGCCTACACATATGTACAGAATGAAAATTAAATTAGAAGATAAAAACATTCTTAATAGTTATTTATGTATTTATTATGTAGTGTTCTGGCACCAAATCTCATTATAGATTGTGAGCTAGCATGTGGTTGCTGGGAACTGAACTCAGGACCCCTGCAAGAGCAGCCAGTGCTCTTAACCTCTGAGACATCTCTCCAGCCCAACATTTTTTTTTTTTTTCCGAGACAGGATTTCTCCATAGCTTTTTGGTTCCTGTCCTGGAACTAGCTCTTATAGACAGCCCAACATTTTTTTTTAATATTTATTTATTTATTTATTTATTTATTATGTATACAATATTCTTTCTGCGTGTATGCCTGAAGGTCAGAAGAGGGCACCAGACCTCATTGCAGATGGTTGTGAGCCACCATGTGGTTGCTGGGAATTGAACTCAGGACCTTTGGAAGAGCAGGCAATGCTCTTACCCACTGAGCCATCTCTCCAGCCCACAGCCCAACATTTTTAATGTAAATAAAAGTTTTGGTTTTTGGGTTTTTTTTTTTTTTTTTTGGTTTTGTTTTTATAACTTATTGATTGCAGTTGTGAAGGCTAATCCTAGCACTCAGGGGGCAGGGACAAATTTGTGGTCAGCCTGATCTGTGGAGCAAGGGCTAAATAGTAAAACTGTCTTCAAGAACTAAAAGTAAGTTTTAAAATAAGTATGTAATTAAGAATATGTTTTTTGACTGGGAGTTGAAGATCGATTTCTGTTTTCTGAGGAAAAGTAAAAGAATTTATTTTTCCTCTTAGGGCTTCTTTAGTCATTAGTCTTACATATCTAGGGGAGAGAATATTTGATCTTATGAATGAGAATTGATTGTGGTCTATGTTCAGTCTCAGGCCCTCATTGAAGAATTGTTGACGTACAAACGATCAGAAGATCAGATAGAACTGAAGGAGAAACAGTTGTCAACTATGAGAGTGGATGTTTGCAGCACAGAAACTCTCAAGTGTTTAAAAGGTAACAAACACATCCTTAAATAAAGTAGCTCAAAGTAACCAGGTGATGGTGGTGCACACCTTTGATTCCAGCACTCCAGAGGCAGAGGTGGTTGAATCTTTGTGAGTTCAAGGCCAGGCTGGTCTACCAAGCAAGTTCCAGGACAGCCAGAGTTACACAGAGTAAACCTGTTTTATTAAAACAACAACAACATAAAAGCGATATCAACAACAAAAAAAGCTCAAAGTTTTCTTCCTTTCGGACTGGTTTGCCCCATAAAAAGAACTTTAAACCTAGTTCTGGGTGGGATCATTACAGAGTATTTAAAGAGGAGTGGGGAGAATTCCTCAACCCCTTCAGGTAAAGCAATTTTCAGAAGTGATTGTGTTCCATTGACGTAGCAGTTTGATTTGTATGAACTTTATAAATAAATCAATTCCCCTGAGGGGAGGAGGTTTCCTGGGTTTCTTGGGGGGGGGGTGGCGGTAAAGACTTATTTATTTTATATGTATCAGTATTTTGCCAGACTGTCTATATGTGCATCACATCTGTGCCTCGTGCCTACAGAGGCCAAAAGATGGCATTGATCCCCTGGGCTAGAGTTAAGGATGGTTGTAAGCCACCGTGTGAATATAGAAATAACTCAGGTCCTTCGCAAGAGCAGCAAGTGCCCTTAACCCCTGAGCCATCTCTCCAGCCCCTGTTTTTTCATTTTTGAGACAGGGAGTTACTTGCTTGTTATAGGGTTTCACTCTATATGCCAGGCTAGTTTTGAACTCAAAAAGATCTGCCTGCCTGAACCTCTTGTATACCAGCACACCTGGCTTTGTATATAAATTCCTACTCCTTTTTTTAAACTTTATTTATTTATTTATTATACAATATTCTGTCTGTGTGTATGTCTGCCGGCCAGAAAAAAACACCAGAACTCATTACAGATGGTTGTGAGCCACCATGTGGTTGCTGGGAATTGAACTCAGGACCTTTGGAAGAGCAGGCAATGCTCTTAACCACTGAGCCATTTCTCCAGCCCCTAAATTCCTGCTCTTTTCACTTCCTTGTTATATTGAATTAGATATAAACAGTTTTGTTTCCCCTTTGTGGTTAATTGATTTGAGTATATTCTTTAGTAAGATTGCTCTATTGTCTTCTCCTTTTTTATATTATGATTTTATATAATTATACTCATAATTTATTAGAAGATAAGCCTCTTACAATCAGAGATTATCTTTTACTTGACTATTTCTATACTCTAATGCTTGAACATTTACACATATCTGTTGCTCTTGATGCATGTTTTTGAAATAATGAATAAATGATGGTTAGCTGTTCATTTATATGTCCATTTTGTTCCTTTCTGTACCATGTTTTACTTCAATTATTTATGGAATAGCAATATTTTACTAGGACTTAAGTTTTTCTTTCCTTGTTTGTTTTTTCGTTCTCTGAGTCAGTGTTTATCTGTGTAAACCCTGGCTGTTCTGGACTCACTTTGTAGAATAGGCTGGCCTCGAGCTCAGAGATTCACCTGCCTCTGTCTCCGCCTCCAGAGTGCTGGGATTAAAGTCATAGAACATAAGATTTACAGAAGTTTCCAGATAAGCCATACAAAATAGTTATAAGCTTTCTCCCCAAAGAGGAAAATCCACATTTTATAGCAGAATCATAATGCTGTTAGTGAGCTCTGTGGTGTTTGTTTAATGTTCCCATTTTTGCCTCTAACAATCTAGCTTGTCCACCTGCATTATCTACATAAAGTTAGAACATGCTCTAAAGAACGGAGTAGCTATGTTGAACCACTGCAGCTAGGGACTACAAAGAGGGAGAAGGGGAATGTAGACCATTAATTAGAACAAGACCACTTTCGCGTAAAACAGAACCAGCCATGTACCTGTAACTAACCCTAATATCTGCCTTTTGCAGCTGGGCGGTGGTGGCGCACGCCTTTAATCCCAGCACTCGGGAGGCTTTATACTTAAACCATGATGGGGAAAGGAATAAAAGCAGTGCACTCTGTTTTTAAACAGTTCTCAGCAACCCAGATGGTACTTCTAGCGTCTGCTCATGTTCTACAATGGTGATATAAATTTACTAAATACATAAATGTGTATTTAGTCACCAAAGATGAAGATGCTTGGGCTTTTATTCTGTAATATCTCTAAGGGTGTGTCCATTGAATATAAACAAAAAGTCTTGACAGAATAAGTGATGTTATACTTGCTAATCAGAGTGACTTGAATATTATCCATTGGATATTGAATATTATCCCTGTCCACTGCACCATACTTTAACTTGAACACAGGCCATCTAATTTAATCTCAATCAAAACCTGGAAGCATTTTATAAAGCTCTGTTATACCCATGAGAAAACAGGCCTCATGAAGAGATTAGTAGGCTCAAGTTGCATAGCTAATGAAAGGCAAAGACAGAATGAATGCCCATATCCATCCACAGCTCTATTCCAGCAGGCATTAGAAGAGAAGCATTTGTTGAATTTTAAGGACACTTTCATAGAAGAGTGAATACTGTATGAGATGACTTGACTTCTCTGAACTGTGGCTTCTCATATGAGAGACAGAAAGTAGATACAGGTAAAGAGAATGGAGCTTCATATGATATTCCTAAGGACGAGTATGGCTAAAAGAAGTGACCGATGGGGCTAGAGAGGTGGTTCAGTGGTTAAGCGCACTTGCTATCCTTCCGGAGAACCTAGATTCAGTTTTCAGTATCCATGCTGGATGACTCACCGCTATTGGCTTGTAATTCCAGTTCCAGGGCATCAAGGGCCTGCATGTGGTGCACATACATGCAAACACTTGCCCATACACATAAAATTTAAAAATAAATTTGTTTGGTTGTTTTTTGTTGTTGTTGTTGTTTTTTGTTTGTTTTTTACCAGGGTTTCTCTGTCTATTCCTGGCTGTACTGAAGTTACTCAGTAGACTAGACTAGCCTTGAACTCACAGAGATCCACCTGCCTCTGTTCCCTCATCCTGGGATTAAAGGTATGCACCACCACTGCCTGGCTAAAAATAAATGTTTAAAAAAAAGAAAAATAATAACTCTTTCAGGTGAACTTTATCTTATTAAAGGCACCTTCATTTGGAACAATCACAAGTTTGTGTTTGTGTGTGTGTGTGTCTCGGGGGAGGTGTTGGTTTAACTTCTTAAAGGTAAAACTGTTATTGTGATTATAGCCTGGTGGCACAAGTCTGTAATATCAGTCACTGAAGGACAACCTAAACAATTTATTGAAACTCTGTCTTAAAGTTGGGACGAGAAATATCGTACACTAGAAAACAGATGTGGTGGCACATTCATTCTAGGACTCTCGTCACTTGGGGAGCTGAGGCAGGAGACCATGAATTTGAAGCCAGCATTGACTACATAGTCTCATACTCAAAACAAAAATAATTTTCAGCTAACGCAGCAGGAAAAGTGTCACAGAACAGTAAGAACTGTTGCATGGAAAGGAATTTTACTCAAAATATTTTTTTCGCCTTAAGACAGGGTTTCTCTGTTTGGCTGTCCTGAAACTCACTCTGTAGAACAGACTGGTCTCGAACTCAGAGATACACCTGCCTCTGCCTACAGAGTGCTGGGATTAAAGGCGTGTGCCACTACCACGTGGCTGAGATTAATGTTTTTAACTTTTCTAATTTTAATATAAATATTTTCTCCATTCTTTTAGATAAAACAGGGGGAAAGAAGTTTTCCAAAGAATTTGAAGAAGCAAGTTCAAAGCTAGAGGAGTTTGTGAATGGATTAGATAAACAGGTGAAAAACGGGCCCTCCCTAACAGAAGCACTAGAAAATGCTGGAATTTTCTATGAAGCACAGTACAAGGAAGTGAAAGTGGTGGCCAACGTAAGTAATTGCAACTATTTTATATTGAATACTTACTGTATGTCAGATACTTTTTACATATGGTGAGTAACACTGAGAATAAGCATTAGGCATTAGACATTAGACACAGGGGCTGGAGAGATGGCTCAGAGGTTAAGAGCACTGACTGCTCTTCCAGAGGTCCTGAGTTCAATTCCCAGCAACCACATGGTGGCCCACAACCATCAGTACTGAGATCTGGCGCCCTCCTTTGGCGTGCGGGCATATATCAAGGCAGAATGTTGTATACATAATAAATAAATAAATCTTAAAAAAAAATAGACATTAGACACATAAAGAAATTACTCTTGAATAGTAAAAAGTGCTGATTAGATTAAGGCATGGATCCCTCAGATACTAACATTTATAAACATCCTAACCATTGTGCATTAGTATTTCTTTCTCGTTTTCCCCTTTTCCTTTTGTGTGTGTGTGATATTTATGTTCTTTCTATAGTGCCTTATACATTTGGACTATTACAAAGTTGTTTTTTTTTCCCCTCAAGACCGGTTTCTCTGTGTGGCTTTGGAGCCTCTCCTGGAACTTGCTCTGTAGACCAAACTGGCCTTGAACTCAGTGATCCTCCTGCCTCTGCCTCCCAAGTGCTGGAATTAAAGACGTGCACCACCTCTGCCCAGCTGTAGAGGTTTTTTTTAAAGCTGGAGTACCATGAATGACTAGGAGTACTCTTGTAATTTTTAACATACAAGTGATCGAAGAAGCAAGGATTTGCTGATTCAGGGTACCAGAGCGAAATAGGTTTCTTGAGGGGAAGGTATAATGACCCCTCCCTCCAAGTCATGCGTATTCACAAAGAGAAAACACAAACATATGAAAGTTTGGGGACTCTATTCTCATAGGGGTAGACCTTAAGAGAAGCCTGCAGTTGTTTCCTAGAATTTTTTTCTTTGTTTTTTTTCTTTGTTTTTCTTTTTTTCCCTAGAATGTTTTAATTAAAGGTTTCAGCTTCAAATAACAAGAAGTGATTTCCTCCAAGCTCTAGACAGCCTAGGTTACCATAGTAACTTATTGTAATGGTCCCTCTGCTTTTGATTGTTTGCTTATCATGCCTTGATGGGTTCTTTTTTCCTCCTTGTTTCATTCATTCATTCATTTGTTTATTTTTAGGAGTTCACAGTGTTATAGAAATGAAAACTAAGACTAAAAATATATATGGGTAAAACATGTATGACTCAGTATATAGACTATAATAGTTTTGGGGGCTGGTGAGATGGCTTAGAGGGTAAAGGCACTTGCTGCCAAACCTGATGACCTGCGTTCAGTCCCTGGGACTAGTGTGAGAGGAGAAAACCAGCTTTCCCACAAATTTTCCTCTGACCTCTGTATGTGTGCTGTGACACCTACATACCTGTATGCCCACCCCCAAAATAAATGTGTCTGAGTTATTTTATATATTATATATATATGCATATATACATGTGTACACATATAGAAAGGGAAGGAGGGGGAGAGGGTTATGTGTATATGTGTGGAAAGCTGGGCAGTAGTAGCTCACAACTTTTAATTCCAACACTGGGAGACAGGCAGGTGGAACTCTGAGTTTGAGGCCAGCCTGGTCCACAGAGTGAGTTCTTGGACAGCCAGGGCTACACAGAGAAACCCCCCCCCCCAAAAAAAAAAACAGATTTTTAACTCAGATGACTGGATTGTAATATTCACTGAACACAGTAGATATTCAGACTACTCTGTGCTCAACAGATGATGATATTCTTGTTTTGTTCTCATTGTTTTTAATAACGAGGAAATGTGATCATAGTCAAAATGGTGGCTGGGTGTTCGTTTTTTTCAGAGAAATAATGTATTTTTTCCCCCCTCTCTTACTTAGGCTTATAAAACCTTTGCTAACAGAGTAAACAACTTAAAGAAGAAGTTGGATCAATTGAAGTCAACCCTTCCTGATCCCGAGGAATCACCAGTTCCTTCTCCAAGTATGGATGCTCCTTCCCCAACTGGTTCTGAGTCTCCGTTTCAGGGAATGGGAGGTGAGGAATCCCAGTCACCAGCCATGGAGAGTGAAAAATCTGCCACACCTGAGCCTGTGACAGATAACCGTGATGTGCAAGACATGGAACTCTCTGATGTAGAAGATGATGGATCAAAAATCATTGGTAAGTAGCTTATATTCTGTATTGACTTTGTTTTCCTGCTAATTAGTTAGCCAAGCTTGCTTTTTCATGGTACTGGAAATCAAACCCAGGGCCTTTCACAGGCACTTAACTCTGAGCCGTATCCTAGTGCTCAGAAATGATTTTTATTTTTATACCTTACTGAAAAAAAATATTTTGGATATAAGTCAGGTGATGGCAGCAATACATGCCTTTAATCCCAGCACTCAGGAAGAAGAAGCAGGTGGATTGTCTATTAGTTCAAGGCCAGCCTGGTCTACAGAGAGAGTTCCAGCACAACCAGAGCTACACAGAGAAACACTGTCTTGAACAAACAAAACAAAATTTGGATATGTTGAGATAAGCAAAATATATTACAAGAATTTATAACTTTAAACTTTTGTTTGTGTTTTTTTAATTTGACTGGTCTGAAGAAATGGCTCAGCAATTACGAGCACTTGCTGCTCTGGCAAAGAACCTGGGTTCAGTTTCCAACACCTGCATGGCAATTCGCAGCTGTCTTTAACTCCAGTTCCAAGAGATTCGACACTTTCTTGTAACCTCCCTGGACACCCGGAAAAATGTGGCGTACATAAATAGAGACATAATACTCATAACATATATAAATCCAAAAATAATTTAAGGAAAAAGAATTCCAAAGCTGCAGTTGATTAATTAATTTTCAGAACTAACCTTAAATGGTTGTTTGTCTGACTTCTGTACTTTTATAATTATTTTTATTAAGTAGTTTGGCTTGTGTTGAATTAAATACACTACTTACCCTGTGTTCTTTAAAGTAGTAAGAGGAGTATATGTCCAAAATTTAAGACTTAAAAAAATTGCAGTTTCAAATTACTACCTAAGGCCTGGAGCAGGTAAGAGCACTGCTGCTCTTTTAGAGGACACATCTTCTGGCCTCTTGGGGAGCTGCATACATATACACATAACATGCCGACAAAAAAAGCAGTCATGTGCATAAAATAATTCATGTTAAGAAGTAAAATACAGATAATTTATGTTGGGAATGATCATAAACTATAAAGACTGATTTTTTTATTTTGTATTTTTTTTAGATTTATTTATTTGTTATGTATACAGTACTCTGTGTGCATGTATGCCTGTAGGTCAGAGAGCATCAGATCTCATTACAGATGGTTGTGAGCCATCATGTGGTTGATGGGAATTGAACTCAGGACCTCTAGAAGAGCAGTCAGTACTCTTAACCACTGAGCCATCTCTCCAGCCCTCTCTTATATTTGTTTATGTGTATGAGTGTACATATCTGTGTATACCCCCAGAAGACAGAAGGAGCATCTACTCCCCTGGAGTTGTAGTTACAGGGGTTTTGAGCCATCTAATATGGCTGCTAGGAACTGGTGGGGCTTTTGTGTTTTGTTTTGTTTTTAAAACATAAAGTGAGAGTAGGGCTTTTGCCCTCAGAGTAGGAAATATTAGGGACATAATATTGGTTCATATTGTAAGTAAAATCTAGAAAATAGGTTATAACATTGCCTCTTGTTCAAACAGTAGAGGACAGGAAAGAAAAACCTCTGGAAAAACCAGCTGTCTCCACTTCTGTACCCACAAAGTCAACAGAAAGTGTCTCGAAGGCCTCATCGTGTGCCCCAGCAACTGTGCCCACGACAGCAGCTCCACCTCTTCCAAAGCCCATGAACACTTCGCTTCTGTCCCCTTCCCCTGCTTTGGTTTTGCCAAACCTGGCAAATGTGGATCTGGCAAAAATTAGTTCCATCCTTAGCAGCTTAACTTCAGTCATGAAAAACACTGGTAAGTGAGCCTAGTGAGGATGGTAAAACCTGGATTCCATCTTGGTTTTCACTGAACCATCAATTTTTTTTTTATTGCTAATGGTGAAATTTCTTCAATTTTTTTTTTTGGTGGGAGGGTTTCTCTGCGTAGCTTTATAGCTTGTCCTGACACTCAATCTGTAGGTCAGGCTGACCTCAAACTCACAGAGATCCGCCTGCCTCTGCCTACCAAATTCTGGGATTAAAGGGGTGTGCCATCATCGTCCGACAAATTTTTTCATTTTAAATACATTAACAAATGGATAGACATTATTTTTAAAAAGCTCAAAAATAATCTTAATATGCCAAAACAAACCACCCACAAATATTCATGGATGCATGAATTTGATGGATTAAATATTTGTAATACTATTAGTAGTTGAAATGTTGTCTGGGCAGTGGTGCTATATACCTTTAATCCCAGCACTTTGGAGGCAGAGACAAATGGATCTCTGTGAAGTTGAATACATTCTGTTCTATATAGTAAGTTCCAGGAGAACCAACGATACACAAAGAAACTTTGTCTCGAAAAACTAAGAAAAAATAAACATTGTCTATATTATTTTTAAGCCATTTTACTTAAAAACTTTATGATATCACACATTTTTATGTCATTAAATAATTGTCTAAACAGCTAGCTGGTTGTGATGGTGCATATCTACAGTCTCCGCAGTTGGAAGACGAGCAGGAGAATCCGGAGTTCAAGGATAGCCTGGGGTACATGAAACCCTTTCTTGAAAAAAATATGAGAGTGGGTAGGGAAATGGTCCAGAGAACGGCCTGATGCATAAGTCTGAGTATCTAAGTTCAGGTCACCATCACCCATGTAAAAACTAGGCTTAGCCATATGTGTGTACCCCACCATCTGGAGTGAGTGGAGACAGGTTGGGATTGGCAACCAGTCTAGAAGAAACATAAAGCTCCAGATTTAGTGTTTGAGACACTGTCTCCAGAAATTAGATAGTGACAGAAGACACCCAATATCACTTGGCCTCCAGGTGCACACATGTGAATGAGTGTACCTGTGCATATACCACATACACAAGAAAATTTATCTATGTCAACTTTAATTGTAATGTATGATAGTCCTTGTTATTAGATATCACTATGTTTTCAGCATTTTGCTTTGTAAAGAATGCTGAGATCTTTGCTATGCAAACCTGATGAGCCCTGCATTCAATTCTCAGGATCTGTTTTTATTGTTTTTGGGTTTTTTGTTTGTTTGTTTGGGTTTTTTGTTTGTTTGGTTGTTTTTTTAATTCAAGACAGGGTTTCTCTCTAAAGCAGTCAATCCTGGTTGTTCCGGAACTTGCTTTGTAGATCAAGCTGGCCTCAATCTCAGAGATCTGTCTGTCTCTGCCTCCTAAATGCTGGGATTAAAGGCATGCACCACTTCCTCCTGACTGTTCTCAGGATCATATGTGACTGGAGAGATCTGACTCCACAGAATTGTCATCTGATCTCCACACGCTTCCCCCATTCTCCACACAGTAACAACAACAACAATAAAAACACTAGAATGTACAACACACAACTGCAGAAAGATGGGGAAACAGATATTTCATCTGTGCTCTGCCCACTCTGTGTTATTTGGGGCTAGGGATCAGCATGTGGCCTAGACAATGCTGACACTCAGAAAACCATGAGGAAGAATAAGAATTCTAGGCCAACATTGGTTATATTGTTAAGACCCTATTTCTTTTTTGTTTGTTTGTTCAGTTTGGTTTGTTTGTTTGTTTGTTTGTTTTTTGGTTTTTTTTCGAGACAGGGTTTCTCTGTAGCTTTGGAGCCTGTCCTGGAACTCACTCTGTAGACCAGGCTGGTCTCGAACTCACAAAGAGATCTGCTTGCGTCTGCCTCCCTAGTGCTGGTATTAAATGTGTGTGCCAGGAAAAAAAAAAAGTGTGTGTGCTATCACTGCACAGCTGGAGACCCTGTTTCAAAAACACAAAACCAAAAAACAGCATGTAGATTTTTTTAAAGTATTTTCATGTGTTAGGACTAAATTGTTACCTAAGAGAGTATACTCCTTTATATACCTAGTAGTTGGAAATTTAACTGTTACCAACCCTTTCCATTGTCACGGTCAACCTTGAAAAGATAGTATCTATTCTTTTAATTAGACTATTTTTCATTTACTTATTTTCTCCTGTCTGCATTTCCCCTTTTAATGTGTTAATAACCAACCCAATATTTTGAGGTGTAAAAGTGTAAAGGAGTTTGTTTGTATAATGTCATTTTAAAGGTTGTTTCAAAGAAAAACCCTGGCCAATAACATAGGCTTGTCGTTACTATCCCATCCCTTCCCCCCACTTCCCAACCTGTTGGCAGAGACTGTACTTTCATTTCCCAGACTCCCAGACTGGAATAATCACACAGAAACTATATTAATTACAACACTGTTTGGCCAGTGGCTCAGGTGTATTCCAAGCTAGCTCTTACATCTTAAATTAACCCATTTTTATGCATCTATGTATTGCCACGAGACTGGCTTACTAGTAATGTTGTGGCATCTTTCTCCTTCAGCTTCTACATGGCATCTCCTTGATTCCACCCACTCTCTATATCTCTGTTTGGATTTTCTGCCTGTCTTTACTTTGCTAAGCCATTGGCCGAATCAGCTTTATTCGTCAACCAATAAAAGCAACACATATACAGAAGGACATCCCACATCACTGATCTCCACACCCCCCACCACAGCCCACACACCAGGCATATCATCAGAGTAGAAGTAGGTTGTCTGGTTGCTGCTGTGAAAACCAATGTGTGTGAAAATAACATAATGCTTGTTTTAAGAATATTATAAATAGAACAGTTCATATTTTCAGGTGTTTATCTTTGTATGTGTCAGAATGGGCACAATTTGTACATAAGTCACAAAAATTACTATTAAACAATCATTCATTGAGTGGAAAGTGTCATGAATTGAGTATTGCATTTTCTTGAGTTCATCTTTCTGCCACCAGGGGTCAGTTCTGCATCAAGACCTTCTCCAGCAACACCTACCAGTCCCTGCAACCTCACCAGTGGCCTGAAAACACCTGCTCCTGCCACAACAACATCTCACAACCCTCTGGCAAATATCCTCTCGAAGGTGGAGATCACCCCAGAGAGCATTCTCTCTGCTCTTTCCAAAACCCAGACACAGTCAGCCCCTGCACTCCAAGGTAAACGGACATGTGCCAGAGGGACTTGAATTGTGTAACAGTGTAATCTTGTATTCTAGTTCTGAGAATCCAAAGTCATGAAATGTACACTATAGTTAACTCCTTAGTGCCTTTATAGTTACCACTTGTGAAGTGGCATTTACAGAATTGAAAATGTCAACATTGAAACAGACTAAATATTATCTAGTCTGTTACCATCCCGTTGAGATAGGAAAACTAGGCTTGTTGCTGTGATTTGGTTGGTTAAGCCTGTCTGATGTGTGATGTTAAAACTGAAAACCAGTTTTCTTGATTATTTAATACTCTGACCTGCACCATGGCACCATTGGAGGGTTATATTAATTTCAGAATAGGGTTAGTGTGTGTTGACTTTTTTTTTTTTTTTTTTTCCCCTTATGAGGATGGTTTCAAGACAAGGTTTTTCTGTGTAGTCCTGACTGTCCTGGAACTCATTCTGTAGACCTTGAACTCACAGAAATCCACCTGCCTCTGCCTCCCAAGTGCTGATATTAAAGGAGTTCACCACCACTACCTGGTATGTGTTGAGGTCTAATGTTGACCTATAATACATCTTTCTTTTCTTCTATCTGTAATCTGTGCCTCATTTAAACTTCTCTTTTTGGCCTTCCCAGTTACATCTTCTACATAAAAGTGCTTCAGTTTTTCATGAGTCTTACCTGATCTTTCAATTCTTATTACCCAGATACCTGCACAACCTTTCTTAAGCATCTCAGTATAATTATGCCATCAATTATGAATTCCAGAAGAGTGTCATCATTATAAAACCAGGTCAGACAGATGTTGTTAAATATCCTATAATGCATAGACTAGTCTCAGCCACAGAATGTATGTAGTGTAACATGTCAGTATTAGTGAAGAGCCCCGTGCTGTGAGAAGAGCACTACAGCTATGTATTACTTCCAAACTGTTCTGGATAAATTATTGTTTATCCTTAGACAAAGAATTTTATTTTATAAAAGTAAATACTATTCAGTGATCATCTGAAACCTCTCTCTATTGGAACTAACAGGAAAGAATTGATGTTCCCAGTAATCCCAGTTCTTAGGATACTCAGATTTCAAGTTGAAGGCTAACTTAGGCTACAGTGGGATTCTGTTTCTGTGGTGGTGTGTGAGTGTGTGTGTGTGTGTGTGTGTGTGTGTGTGTGTGTATAATATGCATATATATAATTTATTTTTATATGTATTGGTGTTTTTGCCTGCATGTATGTCTGGGTAAGGGTGTCAGATTCCCCTAGAAGTGGAGCTACAAACAGTTGTGAGCCACCATGTGGGTGCCAGGAATTGAACTCAGGACCTCTGGAAAAGCAGTCAGTGCTCTTAACCAGTGAGCCATCTTTCTAGCACTGTGTTGTTGTGGTGGTCGTTTTGTTTTAAGCACAAAAAAAGGTTTGATAATCTCTAATAGCTCATCTTGTACAACTCAAGAGAGATTACAGTGCTCTTGGATTCTCCCTTTCTACCACCATCTTGTAGATGGAGTAACAAATTTAAAGTCATTCATATTAGTTTTTTTTCCCTTCAGATACATAACTGTATCTTAGAGTCCTCCTGCCTGAGTGCTGGGATTAAAGGCATGTGCCACTACCACCCTGAGAATACAATTTTTTTACACCTTTAATCCCAGTGCTCTGGAGGCAAAGGCAGGCAGATCTGAGTTCAGAAAGCCTGTCTCAAAACAAGAAAAGAAAATTTCTTAGAACTTTGTTCTGTTTTTGTTATCCACAATTTGTTGACAAATTTTCAAAAGAAAGACTTCACGGCTTGTTGACGTGAAAGAAATGTAGTAAAGTGACAAAAACGTCATATTACAAATATTACGAAAGTCTAATATCTTTTTTAATTTATTTATTTGTTGAAGGACAGTTTGTTGAAATTGGTTCTCTCATACAATGTGGGTGCTGAGGATCAAACGCTGATCGTCAGGCTTGGCATCAGGTGTTTTACCTGCTGAGCCATCGCACTGGCCTGACAGTGTCTATCTGAGAAGACAGTGCTCTGTGAAAGCACATGCCCACAGTGTCTGAGACATAATAGTCATACATACCTCACACCAGTAATCACAGCACTTGAGAGGTATAGGTAGGTGGATCCCTGTGAGTCTGAGGCCAGTGCGGTGTATATAGTGAGTTCTAGAGCATCTAGTCTTGAAAAATAAAAGAATAAACAAAGGACAGACATGCTGCAATTGACCCCTACCTGAGAGGCAGTGTCAGAAGGATCACAATTTATGCCAGTATGTGAAGCAGAAACAGTAATAATAAAATTTGTGTCTGGTCTGTAGGTTTGTAAGCTGGTATAGCCACCATGGAAGTCAGGATGAACTTTCCTGACTGAAAATGGAACTCAGATATGATTGCTCCTGGGTCTACATCTGAAGAACTCACATGAACACAGCACAGGGATTCTTGTGTGTCCTTGTTAATATTGCCTTGCTTTCAGTGGCAGAAAGTGGAACCAGCCAAGAGAGATGAAATATGCACACTACCCTTCTAATTTAATCCAGCCTCATGAAGAACCTGAAAAACCCAACATTTGCAGGGAAATGGGTGTAACTGAGATTATTGTGTTAAGCAAGACACAGAAATACAAATAACCATATTTTCTGTCAAAGGCATAATAAATTGTGTCTGTCTGTGTAGATGTTAAAATAAAGATCCATGAGAGGTGAAGAAAAGATCGTGGATGGGGGTGAAATAGATGTGGCATGACAGCAGATGGAATTCCTGTCCACAGAGAGGAGGGTGGAGGGTGGAAAGGTGACTAATGAAGTTTAATGACACGTGGTGTATGAACGTGCCATGATGAGGCCCATTTACTGAAATTAACTTTAGGATTTGTTCAGGCAGTAAATTGTTTTCTGTGCATGCATGAAGACCTGAGCTTAATCCATGGTACCCACATTAAATCCAGGCCTGGAGTTGTGTTTGGAATCCTTGTGCCAGAGAAGCAGTAACAAAAGAATCCTGTTGGCCAGCTGACTTGGCCTGATGGGTTAGCCCCAGCTCCCAGTGAGACCTTGCCTCAGAGACAGGTGGAGGCTCCTGAGAGGCTGATACTGAAGTTGACCTCTGGCTCCCACATGTAGGTGCCACATGTGCCTGTGCACAAAGAGAGTTAATTTTTAAATTCCTTAGTAAATACGATTTTAAATTGATATTTTGAAGAAGCACTAACTGAAGTATCAGGAATATTTTCTTCTCTTTTTCTAAATATTTATTATATATATATATATATATATATATATATATATATATACACACACACACACACACACACACACACACACACACAATATTCTGTCTGTTTGTATGCCTGCAGGCCAGAAGAGGGCACTAGACCTCATTACAGATGGTTGTGAGCCACCATGTGGTTGCTGGGAATTGAACTCAGGACCTTTGGAAGAGCAGGCAACACTCTTAACCACTGAGCCATCTCTCCAGCCCCCAGGAATATTTTCTTTAGATATTTCTTTACCAAAAGATACTTTTGGCAGATTTAGCAAGAACTAAAATTTTCATTTATGTCTAGGAAGTGAATAAACTTGACAAAATATGGTTGGTTCACAGGATCTTCCTTTTTAGTTTTTTGTCTTTTAGACTGTTTTTTTGCCCGGACATGGCGGTATACATTTGTAATTTTGGCAGGGAAGAATACCATGAGTCCATCCCAGCTATGTAAGGAGATCCTGGGGTTTGTTTCGTTTCATTTTCAGAGCACTTTGATTTCATTAACTTTAGCTTGCAACAAAGATTTTTTTTCTCATGGTTCTGAGGTTTGTCAGTTAGTGAACAGAGTTGAATCTCATCATTGTCAGTTTGTACAAACCAATAATCCTTGGGTTTTCCTAGCGGTAAAGCAGGAATTGTGCATTTTTGTATGTAAATATCAGCACTTCTCTTGGTCTGGCTTTGTCCATCTTTGTGTGGTGCCTGCTTTCTGTTTGTCACTGCTGTCTTTCACAGCCTTGGTCTTGAAAGCAATCTCTGTGATGCACGCCTGTGATCCTACCTTTATTAAGAGAAAGGAAGACTGAATGAGGACAGCCTGGCGTACATAGCAACACTCTGTCTCAAAAAAAAAAAAAAAAACTAGAAGAAAACGAAAAGAGGGGCTGGAACAGTGGCCCAACAGTTAAGAGCGTGACCTGTTCTTGTAGAGGGTTCAAATTCTGTTCTCAGCATTCATATCTGGTAGATTACAACCACCTGTGACTAGCTCCAGAATATGTAATGCCTTCTTCCTGAACACATATTACATACATTTATACAAATATATACACATAAATAAAAATAATTTAGAAAAAAGAAAAGAGCTGGCTGTAGTGGCATATGCCTTTAATCTCAGTACTCAGAAAGCAGAGGCAGGCAGAGCTCCATGAGTTCAAGGCCAGCCAGAGCTAGGTAGTTGACATCCTGCCTCAAATATAAATAATTAAATAAATTCAAATTTTAAAGGGGAAAAAAGACTGGATGTGATAGTGTACACTTAAAATCCCAACTTAAAAGGATTAGAGTTTAATGCCAGCCTAGATTTCATGAGACCCCTCCTACAAACTCCCATCCCCCATAAAAGACAAGACTGGGTGAGGAAAATCCTCAGTGGTTAAGAACATTGACTGCTCTTCCAGAGGACCCAAGTTCAATTCCCAGCACCCACACTCACAACTGTCTGTAATTCTAGTTCCAGGGCTTCTGACACCCATGGCAAAGCACCAATGCACATAAAATAAAAAATTAATTAAAAAAGACAGGGCTGGAGAGATGAAATTCATTGCCCACATAGCTTTCAGCAGTCTGTAACTCCAGTTCCGGGGATCCAGTACCTTTTTCTGGCCTCCTTGGCCATGCATGTGGCATATAGACATACATGAGGCTAGGGGGGCCAAACACCCATACACATGCAAAATAATTTTAAAAGTGACACTAATCTAACAAGAGATAAACTTCTTCATATATTCTCTATTAAAGCAGATTTCTGAATTTTGTATATGTTCTTTTCTTCATGAAAACAGCAGTGCTTGCTAACATATTGGAGTAAATTATGAAGAATAGAAAGGTGGGAAATTCATTTGTGTTTAGAGAGATTCCACAGCTCAGACACAGATACTGGCTTGGAATGTTGTGTTAAGAATTTGCTTCCGTTCCTCTCCTGCTTTGCTTTGTTTAAACTATGAATGATTCTGACATTGAAAATCCCCCTTTCCTGTGACCTTTTATTATTGGACTTTTATCTGGATTGTTCTGGGAATGTCTGAATGCTTTGCTGTCTTATGTTGATAAATAGGCCTGATGTTTTCTGTGACATTTAGACACTGCCTGCTTAGTCTAGATTCCTTTTAACTTCATGTTTTAAAATCTGTCTGGTTCCCACCAGAGTGAATGATCATATCTAATAAGCCCACTTTGTTTTCATCACCAGAGTGAATGATCATATCTAATAAGCCCGCCTTGTTTTCATCACGGTGTGGGTAGTGTTCTTTAACTCCTCTACTCTGTGTTTCTGCAGGCCTGTCATCTTTACTTCAGAGTGTTACTGGGAACCCAGTGCCAGCCAGTGATGCTGCATCCCAGAGCTCTACAACGTCCCCTGCTAGCACCACAGGTTCTACCATAAAGGGGCGAAACCTGCTCTCCAATACACAGTCCTTTATTTCCAAAAGCTTCAACTATTCTCCTAACTCGTCAACTGCTGAAGTCTCTTCAACTTCAGCAAGCAAGGCGCCGGTTGGGCAGAGCCCAGTGCTCCCCAGCACTCCTTTTAAATTACCGTCCAGTACTTTAGGATTTACAGGTACCCACAATACTAGCCCTGCTGCCCCACCTGCTGAAGTTGCCATGTGCCAATCCTCAGAGGTCTCCAAGCCAAAGCTGGAATCAGAGTCCACTTCCCCAAGCCTGGAAATGAAGATCCACAACTTCTTAAAAGGTAATCCTGGTTTCAGTGGCTTAAATTTAAACATCCCAATCCTGAGCAGTTTGGGATCCAGTGCCCCATCAGAGAGCCATTCCTCAGACTTCCAGCGTGGTCCCACTAGCACTTCAGCAGACAACACTGATGGAACCCCTGTTCGGGATGAACGGAGTGGGACGCCCACCCAGGATGAGATGATGGACAAGCCCACATCCAGCAGTGTAGATACTATGTCCCTACTATCTAAGATCATCAGCCCTGGTTCCTCAACACCCAGCAGTACAAGATCACCACCCCCTGGAAGAGATGAAAGCTACCCTCAAGAGCTCCCCAATTCTGTGTCTACGTATCGGCCCTTTGGCCTGGCCAGTGATTCTCCCTACAAGCAGCCTTCGGAGGGAGTAGAGAGACCATCTTCCCTGATGGAGTCGTCACAGGAAAAGTTCTTCCCTGATACTTCTTTCCAGGAAGATGAGGATTACCGAGATTTTGAGTATTCAGGGCCTCCCCCCTCTGCCGTGATGAACTTAGAGAAGAAACCAGCCAAATCCATCCTGAAGTCAAGCAAGCTTTCTGACACCACTGAGTATCAGCCAATTCTGTCCAGTTATAACCACAGGGCCCAAGAGTTTGGGGTAAAGTCTGCCTTCCCTCCATCTGTAAGGGCCCTCCTTGACTCTAGTGAGAACTGTGATCAGCTCTCATCTCCCCCTGGGCTATTTGGTGCCTTCAGCATAAGAGGGAATGAACCTGGGTCTGATCGGTCACCATCACCGAGTAAGAATGATTCATTTTTCACCCCTGACTCCAACCACAGTAACTTGTCTCAGCCTACTACTGGGCATCTCACTTTGCCACAGAAGCAGTACCCAGACTCTCCTCACTCAGTCCCACATCGTTCCCTTTTCTCTTCGCAGAATACCCTTGCTGCTCCAACTGGACACCCTCCCACATCAGGTGTGGACAAAGTCCTGGCCTCCACGATTTCCGCCACATCGACGATTGAGTTTAAGAATATGCTTAAAAACGCCTCGCGCAAACCCTCAGATGATAAGCATTTTGGCCAGACCCCCAACAAGGGTACTTCAAGTGATGGTGTCAGTCTGTCAAACCTCACCCAGCCCAGCTTGCCTACCCCTGACCAGCAACAGGAAGAACACTATCGCATAGAAACCCGCGTCTCTTCCTCCTGTTTAGACTTGCCTGATAGCACAGAAGAAAAGGGAGCCCCCATAGAAACTCTGGGTTATCATAATGCAGCCAATAGGAGGATGTCAGGGGAGCCAATACAGACTGTAGAGTCCATACGAGTTCCTGGGAAGGGAAATAGAGGACATGGGCGAGAGGTTTCAAGAGTAGGTTGGTTTGATCTGAGCACACCAGGCAGCTCTTTTGACAATGGTCCCTCAGGTGCCTCTGAGTTGGCATCCCTTGGGGGTGGGAGCAGCGGAGGCCTCACTGGCTTTAAGACAACGCCATACAAGGAACGGGCACCCCAGTTTCAGGAGAGTGTCGCCAGCTTTCATTCCAGCAGTTTCAACTCAACATTTGAGCATCATCTCCCCCCATCCCCTTTGGAACATGGGACACCCTTCCAAAGAGAGCCAGTGGGGCCGTCATCTGCCCCACCTGCCCCTCCTAAGGATCATGGTGGTATCTTCTCTCGAGAGGCACCCACTCATCTGCCCTCTGTGGATCTTTCGAACCCCTTTACAAAGGAGGCATCTCTGGCCCACGCTGCTCCACCACCTCCTCCTGGAGAGCACAGCGGAGTTCCTTTCCCTCCCCCACCCCCTCCTCCACCCCCTGGGGAACTTAGCAGCAGTGGAGGGAGTGGTGTCCCCTTTGCTACTCCACCCCCTCCTCCGCCTCCTGTTGACCACTCTGGGGTTGTACCTTTCCCAACACCACCACTGCCAGAGCATGGAGTGACTGGGCCTGTGGCAGTTTTTCCCAAGGACCATAGTTCCCTCCTTCAAGGGACCTTGGCTGAGCATTTTGGGGTGCTCACAGGACCCAGGGACCTCAATGGCCCTGGTCTTAGCCGTGCACGAGAGAGCCTGAGCCTGCCTTCCCGCCCTCTGGAGCATCTGGGCCCAGCCCTTGGAGGAGGTGGGGGAGGCAACACCAGCAGCAGTGGCCTTCCCTTGGGTCCCGCACACAGAGACGCCATCGGCCGGAGTGGTATGATTTTACGGAGTCCCCGGCCAGACTTTCGGCCTAGGGAAGCTTTTCTCGGCAGAGACCCATTCCACAGTTTAAAGAGACCCCGGCCACCTTTTGTTAGAGGCCCTCCGTTCTTTGCACCAAAACGCCCATTCTTCCCTCCCAGGTACTGATGGAAATCAGGGAAGGCATTTTGAACAGTCTAGAGAGCATTGGAAGTAGTAGTTTGGTTTCTTGTTTTTGTTTCCTCTCTTGAATTTTTTGTTTGTTTGTTTGTTTTTAATGAAGGGCTTCCCTTCCAAATTCAGAAAGCATACATGGTGGCCGTGCACTTAGGACCTTTCCCAAATTACTTGCATTTTCCCCCTTTCTTTAAAAAAAAAAAGTGAACATAACTAAGTCCACTTCATTTGGCTGTGGGTTTGGGGAGTAGGAAGGAGAACAATATTTTATCCCATTTCTATTGGAAAGATAACTTACATTTGAAATAAAACTTCGGTCAGTACAGGTAATAACATGTGCAATGTTGGGGTGTCATTTGGGGGTTGAACTTGCTAATAGTGGTGGGAGGATCTCTGTCTCCTTCCCCCTCCAGCTAAGCAACTTCTGGGACCGGCTTTTCTCCCTTTGTATGCTCTGCCCTGCTGAAGGCCAAGAGGTGTTTGCAGAAGGACAAAATATGGGCAATTTTGGGCCTGCCAGGTGTATTTGCTTTATTTTAAAGGCATGTTGAGACAGAGTTCTTTATTATCTTTTGTTTTTGTTTTTTAAGCATTCTCCTCTGCACTATTACCAGGCAGTGAATCTAGGCAGTACAAACTTCAGTCTATGTAGAAGAAAGTTTTCTCTTGCTGGGTGTGGTGGCACACACCCATAGTCCTAGTGCAGGGAGGCAGGGACGGGAGAGAATGGCAAGTTTGAGGCCAGCTTGAGCTATATAGTGGAACTTTGTCTCAAAAAGAAAGAAAAAGTCTCATCCTTAAGTGAGAAGCCTAATAAAATTTCAATATGAAGATGAGGAATGGTCATGGTATGTAAACTAGGGAAGGGATCATTAATGGTGCTGTGTGACCATCTGTCCTTTGTGGACAAGGAAGCGTTTGGATGGGTCTGCATATTTGTTCTAAGCTCTTACCCCCTGTTTTCCCTGACTTTTTCTCCCTGAGTTACTAATTCTGACTAAATTCTTAAACAAGTGTAGCTAAAATATTATCCTTGCTTTCTTAAATGTTTACGTAGACGTTCGTTTTACAGTGCCGCCTCACTGGTGGTTTTCTGCAAACATGAACTACCGGAGGAAGTACTTTGCCTTTAGAGTAATTTCCCCGTCTCAGTCCTCTGTTTACCCTGCTCTTGTTCCTTCAGAGGAGAAGACAGGTGGGTATTGCTGGCCTTTGTTACAGGGGAAGTGGGGTCCTGTTGAATCCAAGTTGGCCCTCAGCAGTTAGTAACTAGATGTTTTCGGTGCCCACCTCCCATGTCAACTTGCAGATGTTTTGCCTGTGTCATTGCCACGAAGGGAAGAGTTTTCTTCCTTACATTAAAAGGCTTGTTTGTGTTTCTGCATCTTATACTTAGGGGAAAGACAATCACTGTGTTTGGAGTGCTTTTATCTTTATCTGAGAAGCAAATACCGCTTACTACAATTTCTGTTGGTGTGTTGCACCAGGGTAAACGCTAATAATCTCCAGGTAGGTGTGTCAAACAGTAATGAGCTTTTGAAGGGATTCTGACAAGTTAGGATAGAACTTTCAGGAATCAAGGGAGTGCTTTGAATTTCTCAGTGGGGTAGGAAAGATGGAGAAAAGTGCAACATGTGATCAAAGACAATCCTTTGCCTCAGAACAAACCACTTTCAGAAGAAAAACTGTCCAACATAGTCTGGGATCTGTGTTCCATGTAAGGGTGCAAGAAATCGTCTTCATTCACTTCCCTTTTTGATCCAGCTCTTTCTTTCCTTTCTCAAACTTCTGTAGTTCAGTCCACAAAAATGCATGATTCCATGACCTTGTGAGGGGATTGGGTATGTAGCATAGCAAAGCAAAGGAAATATAGTTATATTCAGTCTTAAGACATTTGTTTAGTAAAAAAGCATCAAACGGGGGTGGGAGAGCAGGAGAATTGTGACTTTCGGGATTGGGTCCCCCCCCCCCCCGAAATTAAGTGATGTTCTTCAGTCTAGAATAAAAGAATGTGAATTCTTTCTTCCGCTGTTTACTTGAAAAGGCTCTCTGACCATTTGGTTTTCTAAGAAAACCTGGGAGTACCGGGATAGTGTTTTCTGGAGTGTAGCAGCAATTGTCCTCAAACACATACTGGCCAATACATGAGACAAGTACTTTGTACAGTTCAAGGGTGGACTCCCCAGGGGTTGGGCTTTTGTGGGACATTTTTTGTTTTTGCCACAAAATCTTGAGTGTTTTTCAGGGTGGAAGTGAGGATTGTATGAAGCTGTTGGATATTTTAAGGAAATCTGTCTGCAACAGTAAATGAAGACAACTGTATATATGTGATATAGTGAAACAAAAGACATTTCTGGTATTCATAAAGATAAAACAAGGGATTTTCTTTCTGTGTCTGTGATTTAAACTCCGTACCATCCTCTGACTTTTGTATTTTCCCCTGAGTTTAAACAAAATAAACAAGATATTTTTTAAAGAATGTACAACATAGTGTGTCTCAGCGAGGACTTGAGTCATGAAGCAGAATTAAGTAGTTGTCCCTAAGGTCCTTGGTGCTCATTGTAAAACCACAGACAAAGAATTCTATGAATACTCTATACCACCCAAAATTCCTTGATGCTAGATCAGAACTAGGATCCTTAAAGGTTTCCTGAGAGTTCACTCTCCAGTCAGCTTAGATGATAGCTCCTCACTGCACCTCTCTGCCCTCCCAAGGATGGAGGTCAGCAGAACTCTGTTGGTTCCCTGGAGGGTGCAGTGAGCAGTGTAGGACAGATCCTTTCTGATATCAGAAACAATATGCTATGTATGGTACAGCAAGGCTATCTAGACAATGTGAATTGGCTCAGCTTTCTTCTCGCAGAATATCCACTCGGTCCTAACATTACCATTGACACAGTTAAGCTTCAGCTGTTAGGTTTTGAATCGGCTGTAAATTACTGCTCCCTCCCCCACCTCCATATTTTTAATTGGTGGGGTAACCTGTTAAGATTTAGGGGGGGAAATAGCTATGTTGGATTGATACTCTCATGTGTTCAGTGTGGAAAACAAATACATGCTTTTAAGAGGCAAGAACAATGAAATCCTTTTGGAATGTGTATTAATATCATTTAATAAAATAACAGTTCTAAAGGTTTGACATTTTTCTTTGAGATTCGGGCTTTGACCAAGGGCCCCTGGCTGCTCTGGTGAATGCAAACAGAAACTACTCAAGAGCCAAAACTGCAACTTTTGTATCACAGACCTGTGGTTAGAGATGCTAAATTTCCTCCATCGAAGATGCGGCGTGACTTTCCAGGGTCAAAGGAGAAACAGGCTACAGAATGGAGAAAGAAAAGCTGGGGGTAGCCCTGAAGATGCCTTCTGGGGTATATGGGGAAGGACAGAAAGTGGCATGTGTACCCACACACACAAGGCATGTGTGCACAGACCACCTGTTCGTTCTCTCTGTAGCCACTTGCACTTAACCTTTCCCAGCTTTGGGGGGGGGGGGGGAAATTGCCTCCAATATTGTTTTCCAGTTTAATAAAATGTGGTTTTCTTTGTTGTGTGGTTAACTTTTCCCCTCTTACATTGAACTTTTCCATCTGTCCTCTTTAGACTTGTGCGTTGTCACTGAAGTCTGGCTGAGCCTGTAAGATCTTCATGGCCTCCTCGGTGTTCTGTTTGGTCCTCTGCATTGTAATGGGTGGGATGCGGTCAGGGTGCTCAGGGAGTGATCGATAAGTGAAGTGGGTTATACTGTATAGATTATATGTGTGTTTTCCAAATACTGTACAGCTGTGAACCAAGGGAAAAAGGTGATGTTTTGGTTGTCAGGCTTGCGGTGCTAAGCATCAAACCCACGGCTTGTGCATTGTAAGCAAGCACGGACCATTGAAGGACATCTAACTATAGGGAACATTTTCAAAGCAAGCATAGAGTTGAGGGCAATGTGTGGGAAAGCGTCCTTTTGGTCATCTATATCTGTCCTTGGTGACATGGGTGATTGACCTGCCATGTAGAACTCATACGTAGCCTCTCTTACTCCATCCTTTTTCATAACCCAGTGAGGCTTAATAAATGGAATGTTGGCTTAAAGGGATCACACGGGATAGTCACTACATCTGGGCCAGGCTTGGGTCACTGGCAGGGTAAAAGGCTCTGAATAGCAGCCCTGATTTCGTGAAGCTCCCCGTGTCACAAGACCTCAGAAGTGGCAGCAGTCTAGGGAGCACACCCAGTTCCCAGGGCGTACCACTACACTGACTCTGGAGTCTGATTCACCTTTGCTTCCTTGTCTCCACTAAAGCTCAGCTGGTCACTGAAAGTCTGCACCTGAAGGAGCAACATCTTTTAGACTTCTGCCTTGGCCTCTGGGCATGTTGGTGAAAAACTATGTGGCTTCTGCTCCCCTTCTCCAGTTTGTTTTATTCTATTTGGGCCAATCAATTTTTTTTTCTTATTTTGGTTTTTTGAGACAAGGTTTCTTTATAGTTTTGGAGCCTGTCCTGGAACTAGTTCTTTTACCAGGCTGGCCTGTAACTCAAAGACATCTGCCTGCCTCTGCCTCTCGAGTGCTGGGATTAAAAGCATGTGCCACTACCGCCTGGTATATTCGGACCAATCTTACACAACAGGAATGAGTTACCTCCTCTTGTGTGGAGACTTAGTAACATCATCAGAATGGGTTTGGGGGTATTAGGGTGTTTCTCATTCTTGCTCATGAGTAACTATAGACAAATCTGATCAGTTGCTGTTCACAATTGCTGAGGAGTAACTCACTGAGGTGGTAAAGACAAGTCTTCTAGAAGATCACCTGTAAGCTGTCTCAAGCACCTGTTTCTGTGCAGATGGGGAGAACATGACAAGGGAAAGGAAGAAGAGATACAAAGCTAGAGGTCCCAGTCAACCTGTGAACAGAGGAACACTTTCCTTAGTTAAAAAGTTGCTTTTGTTTTGTTTTTGTGTGGGTAGGAGGGGACTAATTTGCAGTAGAGCACATGCTTAACATTTAAAAGGCCCTGGTCTAGGAACAAAGGGGATTGGGTGAGGGTTTTTTTATTTTTATTTTTTAAATTTCATTTATTTTTTTGGTGTGTGTCTCTGCATGCGTGCTTGGAATCAAGCTCAGGACCTCATACATATAAAGCACGAATCGGTATCCCAGCCTCTCCCCTTTTTTGTTTGTTTCCTAGTCCCTTTGTTCTCACCTAGGCAGGAGCCTCTTTGGGCGGAAGCATAGGGAGATCTGTGGTGGCACCTGAGAAACGAAACCATCATCTGTTCATGTTTGACTCAAAAGGATGTTGCTAACCCAGTCTATCTTGGACTTGTTTGGGTTCATGGCAAACTAAGTGTTCTCCAAATTTTTGTTTCTTATTGTATTCTCTTGTATTTGTAACATGGTCAAGTCCTTTGACGTTTGATCTGTGGAAAAGAAAGGACCTGACGGTTCTGTTTTTCTTGGGCCATCTGTGAAAATGGAAAGAAAGGATATTGACAACATCCAGTTTTGCTCCCCCGCCTGCTTTCATATGGTAGAGCCCTTTGCGTCCACATGAGCAGTTAGTCCTTGCCGAGGCCAATAGAGGTTAGTAAAGTATAAAATTGGTCCCATGTTAGACCTTCCACATTACTTAGCGAATCCTCTATCTAAACTTGACTTCCCAGCATTTGCTAAATGAGCTGGAGCTGTAAGAGTGGTAGTGTTCTCGTTTGTGAGGCTCAGGCCGTGTCCCGGAGCTAAAATGGATTTGAGGGCTATACACTGATCCCGGTGGATGAAAAAGCCGCTCATTGGAGATAGCTTCTAGTGCCTTAAAGCTAGAAAGACAAACTCTTTCTTTTACCAAAACTTCAGCCAGGTGAGGATCCCTGGTCTTTGTTTTTTGTTTTCTTTTTATTAATTTAATTGAAGCCTGGTCTAAGAGTAGAAGAGAAATTCCTAAATTTTGATTAAGGATCTAAAACATCCTTCATTGCAGACTTTCCTTACACTTTTGTGACTCTCGTTTATTCATTTTCTACAACCATAGAGGCAAGTCGGGAGGCATCACCTTTTTTGACTTTCTTGAAACTCTTCACTCTAAAAGACCTTTTTGGCCACAAACATCTGAGTCATGATGTTTGAAAGAAAAGGAAGCAAATCCATGTTAGCAAGCACGATTCATTATGAGTAATCTGGGTTTACTTAGGGTGTCATCGTGGATGTATGAGCAAGCCAGGCTGTGGGTTTGGACAGACTAGGATTTGGCCGTGGGATCATTTCCCATGGTTTAAAGGGAGCATAAGAACACTAGACTGAGTACTTGGAATGAGATGAAATGATGAAATAGTGATGCACCCAAGGACTCAGGCACGAGTGGGGTGGGCAAAAAAAAAAGTTTCAGAGATATTTTTTCAGATAGACTAAAGGTTTAGGGTTCCCCGAAGCCAAGGCATGTACTAGGAGAACCATTGATTAATGCATTGGTCTTAGCTGTCTGGTTTGCTTCAATGGGCATACAACATTCCTTCCTCTACTGCAGCACAAGTTACATATGTGATTATGTGGTAGCTGATCAATCAACACCAGCCCAGTGCATTGCACATAATAAATGTTGAAGGATGAGTGTAAGGAGCTGTCATGCAGGGTGGCATCTCTCTGTGATCCTAGCAAAAGGACACAGTGGAATAATTTTTATTAATGTCAAAAGGTAGAGTTTCCAGTACATACTTAACTCAGTGATTATTGAGTGTCTACCATTTTGTTGCCTGTCTCTGTTACATTGTCACAAGAAAACCTTGTTCTGCCATTGCCATCCTTTCTAAATGCTACTTAAAATGCTGTGCTCTCACCACAAGAATGCACACTCAAAATCTCTACAGCCTTGTCTCTTTCTTTGTATTTCAGGATGTCTAAGATATCAGAAGATGGAGCCCCAGAGTGGGCTATGATGCAAGTCAGCTGCCATCCCCAGACAGAACTTTGGGCCTCTCTGGAAGCCTAAGTTAAGCAGCTTTTTCTGACAACTCTTCCACAAGACCCCTTGATCCTATCACCACTGCAGTCTGGGAATGGACTAAGCATCCTTACCCCCAGGTGAGGGGACTAATTGAACCCGAACAGGCGCTAACAAGTTCCCTTCCCTTTATGCTTCTCCACACATCTGACCATGTTTCTGTTTTTACTGTATAAAGCTAACTAAATATAGCTAGCCCTGTATCCTAGATTGAATGGTGAAGAATAAAAGATAAAGGAAGATGAAGGCTGGAGTAGTAATGAAAGGCACAAAGTTTAGGTGAGGAACAGAGAAATGCCTCTAAGGTGATCAGGGAGGGGGTCAGCTAGAGGAAGGACACAGAATGCTGGAAGCGTGCAAACCTGAAATTCATCAGCACCTTATTTTTTTTATAATTTTATTTATTTGGTTTTTTTTGAGACAGGGTTTCTCTGTGGAACTGTCCTGGCTGTCCTGGAACTCACTTTGTAGACCAAGCTGGCCTCGAACTCATTGAGATCCACCTGCCTTTGTCTCCCTAGTGCTGAGATTAAAGGCCTGCACCAACACCGCCCAGGTCATCAGCACTTTTTGACCTTAAACTATCTTCTGTGATTTTTCAAATTCCATTTCTGGGACCAGTAAGATGGCTCGTCAGATAAAGGCACCTGCTGCCCAAACCTGGCAACCTAAGTTCTATGCCTAGAACCCACATGATGTGAAAGTACAGAGCTGCCTCCAGGAGGGTGGCATCTGCAGGAGGGTGGCATCTGGCCTCCACAGCTGTGCTGCCTGTGCCCACAAACATACTTCATACACACACAGCAATGACAAATTAAAATTCACATCTAGCTGTGTCTTAAAGTCCCTCCACCAAGAATGACTAGGAAGGGCCCAAGGAATGGCTTCCCCCGATTGTTCCAGTATTAGAGTTGTTATATCCAATGGTAATAGCAGCATTTTGCTGCTGGTGCCTCTTATGGTATATCAAACATTGAGAGTTTAACTATTTACATCAGGTGTACCTCAACAACTGGAACAGATACTCCCCTGACCCTGACAGGGTTGTTGTCCTGGAACTCGCTTTGTAGACCAAGCTGTTCTCAAAGGAGTGTGCCACCACCACCCAGCTGGACTGGATATTTTTCTTCTAGCTTTATAGATGAGAAAATCGAGATTACAGAAACAGTTCACCAAAAACTACTTAGTACCAGTTCCAGGATTTACACTAGATGTTTAATTCTAGTGTCTGTACTCTTGTTTCCTTCCTGCTTTAAGGATGTTTAAAAATTTATGATTAAAGGAAAATGACTAATTTCCATTCCTGTTTTTCTCTCACTCTTGCTCTCAGGAGGTCTGCCCTTGTCCTAAAAGTTGGGCACCTTCCTGTCACTTTGGGCATCAGGTATGTGCCACAGCTTCCACCTTCCGGTCAACCGGAACCTTTCCCGGAACGACTGCTGCGGTGTGGGACGTGCCTCGGCGGATATCCTGTGGGGGTGGTACCTGACCGAGTGGCGGCTACTTTATCCAA